CAACTCCTCATTAACGTCGTCCCCAATTACGTCGTTTTGTTTTTGCATCTTTGAAAAAATATTAAATAAAATTAAAGATTAAAAAGATAGAATTTAAAAACAAAAGGCATTGAAAATTATTTCCGTAAATTCCTTTCGTGGGTTTGCTTTACTGGCGACGCAGGGTTGGCTGCACTGTAATATTATTTACATTTTGGAGTTGGCTTTTTTCATTTGCAGCACCCACACATATTTTGTTATAATTACCCTACATTGCTTGAATTATGACACCGAAACGACAAGCAAGTAGTCCTGCAGGTAATAAGAACAAAAAAGTGACTCTAAATGTAATAACATTAAATAAAAAGCACGAAATTGTGAAACGTTCAGAGGAAGGGCTACGTGCTATTTATGTTGCACGGGACTCGGGGGTTCCTGCAACAACTGTAAAAACAATTTTCAAGAATGCAGAGAAGATAAAGATGTCAGCTCATGCCAATAGGCAATTAGCTTCAAGTGAATTAAGCTATATGAGAAATTGCATCGTAGAAAAATGTAAAGATCAGTAACAGTGTGGTTATCGACCAAAATCAGAATCGTCTGCCATTGAGTCAGGCTCTTATAATTCAGAAAGCAAAAACTTTGTAGAAGGAATTACATGACAGGAAGGTAAAAGCTCAACAACAGGGAACTTTGCTGCAAGTAAGGATTGATTTGACCATTTTTGACGAAGAAATGATCTACAAAACATCAAATTAGCAGGAGAGGCCGCTAATGTCGATCACCTAGCTGCGTTGGAATTTCGAGACAAGTTGAAGGAGATCATAGAAAGTGGCGGATATCCCCAGAATTGGTTTTCAACACAGATGAAACTGGGCTATTTTGGAAATGGGTGCCGTCCTGTACGTTTATTTCTTGTGAGGAGAAGACTGCTCCAAGATTTAAATCCGCAAAAGATTGGCTTACTTGGTGGTAATGCGGCAGGAGACTTTAAATTGAAATCAATGCTAGTGTACCATTCAGAAATGCCGCGGCTACGAAAGGATTCTCTAAGCCACATCTACCGGTTATTTGGCGTTCTAATTGCAAAGTTTGGGTGATAATTGATGTTTTTCAAGATTGGTTCGTCTCCTGCTTTTGCCCAGCAGTGAAGAAATACTGCATTGAAAAAAGGCCTTACTTCTCCTACATAATGCTCCTGGTCACCCGTCTCATTTGGACAACTTGGAGACTTGCAATACGATCCAGACTGTGTTTTTTCTCCGAACGTTTAAAGCGTATTATCTACGTGGTACCTTTCGTCAGCTATTTAATGAGACATCTACCAATGAGAACCTTATAATCAGGGACTTCTGGCGTTCGTATAATATCATTTAGGAAATTGACAACATCGACCATGCTAAATGTATGAACAGAGTTTGGAGGAAGATATGGCCAGAATGCATTTATGACTTCCAGAGTTTTGAAGAAGAAATACCAATAGTCCGTGGAGGAATTGTCAACCTTGCCCACAATGTAGGACTGGATTGAGTGGAAGATGGAACCGTGGAGGAGTTGCTTCAATCGCATGGGGAAGGTCTGTACAATGAAGACTTAAAATAATTAGATCGGCAACTATTTAAGGAAGATGCAACAAAAGATTAGCAAACAGAGGAAGTAAAACGAGTTGTTGAGTTGACATGCAAGAGCATGTCAGAGGCTTTTTGCAAAATTACTGAAGGTCTTGCAATCTTCACCGAGAACGACCCTGGCCGTGAATGGAGCAGTACCTTGAGGAGGCAAGTTGAGGCAGCTCTATCAGGCTATCAGGAATTTTATAAAGAAGCAGGCAAGACAGTCACAACTAACTCAATCTTTTAAGAAGAAGGAAAAGGAAGTAGATGATCCAGTTCCACCTTTTCCGCAATAAACTATTGCCAGCTCAACTTGTTTTTCAATATTGTACAATGGTACGTATTCTTTATTAATTTTTATTATTGTTTTATACTTTGCTTTTTGTCTTATGTAGAATGTTAAATTATACTGCTGGAACACAACTCCAACTTTATACCAAAGGGGAATTGGGTGCCCAATCATGTTGTTTCCAGCAACATCGCAGTTCTCAAGAATGTAACTAGGACGTTAATGGGGGGTCAACTGTATATTATTCATAAGTAACTTAAACCTTCATAAACAAAACATAAGAAATATCCTGTAACAGTTATCAAACTGAAATATTAACATCTGGTAATATCAACCAACCTCAGCCTTAACAATTATCAAACTGAAATATTAACATCTGCTAATATCAACCAACCTCAGTCTTAACAATCATCAAACTGAAATATTAACATCTGCTAATATGAACCAAATTCAGCCTTATTAGTTATAAAACTGAAATATTAACACTTGCTAACATCAACCAAATTCTGCCATAATAGTTATCAAACTGAAATATTAACACCTTCTGATATCAACCAAGTTCAGCTTTAACAGTTACCAAAGTGAAATATTCACATATGTTAATATCAACCAGCCTCAACTATCCAGTTTTTGGGTGCTTTGAAGACAGTTCTACTTATAATTTTTGAATGTTTTAAATTAAAAACTAAAATTATTAGTAATAAGTGTGACTACCCCTAAATAATTTCAAACTTTGGTGTATTGTTTGTTTGTTTGTTTTTTAATTATGCACAAAGCTACACAATGGCTATCTGTGCTCTGCCCACCACGGGTATCGAAACCCGGTTTCTAGCGTTGTAAGTCCGCAGACATACCGCTGTGCCACTGGGGGGCAACTTTGGTGTAAACGATATCAAATAATCACTTGTAATAAAGTTAGTTATACACTAATGTTTGAGCCTATTGCACATCTAAAAAAATTGCATACAAAAGTGTAATTTTACAGTTAAATAGATAAGACTACCATACGGAAAGGCTTATTTCATGACGGCTCTGTATGATTGTTAATTTGGAACACTATTGTGAGAAACATTTCCTGCTCTTAAATCTGTTAAGGCTGAGGTGTTGATATTACCAGATGTTAATATTTCAGTTTGATAATTATTGAGGAACTTTTTAAGATTTAGGGTTGTTCAAGTTTTTGATGTGTTGTCCATCTGGTTTTTCATGAATATTTATTCATCAGTAAGCAGTAATGAAAATGTATTGGTGACATAAAACAAGTTTATAAATTGTTTAATCATTATAGTTGGCCTGTAACTTTTCATAAGCTGATAAATCACTTGAAATTTTCGAAGACCTGTTCTCCTAAGAAGCAGTATTTCTTTAATACATGAGACTTAATCATGTCACAGTCAGTGACTTACAAAGAACATGAAACTGTGTGGGACCATCTCAAAACATTTTCTGTAATGCAGAGGTACCAGTACTCCCACATTGAGTGTGACGCATACATTTGAGCCTATTCTGATGTTCATATGTTTTGTTGAAATTAGTGGCTTTCTATAATGCATTGTGTTTGGTTGACCAGCTGGATCCAGTTCAAATTCAGTATCACATTGCTCCAGGAAACGCACAAGATTGCACCATTTTGCTTCATTGAATAAAAAATGTTCTTGGGGACCATGCCCTCAGACTCCCTAGAAGGCAACTACATTCATCACTTTACCATGTGCTAACATTTTACTTTTTCAAAAGTCTCTCTCTTTGAAGATCCCTAAAAGTTGGCAACCCTGGTAATTTGTCAAATGATCATTATTTTTCTTAACTCTGAGCCATTCCTCTTAAGCGTGCTGAAGGTGTAGAAATCTATTTAGTCACTAGAAGTATATCTCTGCTGTTGAAATATTTCTCCCAAGATAAGTAATGAATAGTCTGTTGTTATTCAGTATGTGAAACTTGTTTTAAAGATATGTTTAAGTGACATCATTACAATAAGAAGTAATGTTGTATACTATATATTATATTCTCTGTGTAGTTGCAAGTTTAAATGTTGTTATTATTTATTTGATTTTGTTATTTTTTACAATTACAATATTTTTTGTCACATACAACCTCCATAGAAATTAATTATATATGAATGAGTTTTTTAAAACAACTATGTATAGTTGTTTTTGATTAATTATCAAAACCTTGAATAAATAAACTAAAAAGGCTTATTGTTTACCCAGGCATTATACCTATTTTTGAAATAGTGTATCTTTGTTTTAAAATGTGATCAACTAAAGGCAGTTTTGATAATTTGAATATTTGTATGTTTACTGCTGATAGATTGATACCAGTAATATATCCCTATTGATTTTCTAACTTCAAAGGCTTGATTTTTCCATAAAATAGCACACAAAATTAATGTGTTAGGTTAAGTGACTCTAAGCCATCCATGCTTAAAATATAAAGCTGATAAAGTTTTAAATAAATGTGCAGATATTAAATATCCATGAACTCCCAACTGCTGAATGTGATAAAATGCACACATAATGAGTATCGTGGGTTATTTTGGGTTCTTTCAGTTAATGCTAAAGCACATGACTTGATAATTATTGAGATTACATACTTGTTGCTACAACAATGTTAAGGTAATTAGGAAAGATCTGATGTTTTGGTCTCATTTGTTTCTCTTGCATAACATCTGTGTTTGGTAAAAAAATCACATATAAAGGGAGTAGAAACATTTTATCATTTGTGTTCATTGGAATTAAAGTAGGTAATCATTCGATATGAGTAATATTTATATTGTAGATATATTTTTATCAGTTAAGCTCAGTTGTTAGTTGAGATGGTAGTTAGCTTAATTAAAAGTTAATTATGCATTTGCAATCTTTAAGTCTGTTGTCTGTTATAGTTATTGATAAAATGAAAGAGTAGATATATTTCATTTTGGATTAACCTTCCAATGTTTGAAGTATTTAAATATCAGGTAATACACCATAGTGGTGATCTTAGATATTGTTATGAACTCTATTTGAAGATATTTTTTTCTCTTCATAACCTTAAACTTTTCTCTAAAGTTTCATAACATAAAATTATACTTATCATTTTAGTTAAATTTAGATGTTGAATAATTTCTGTTTTGTTTTCAGGATGAAGAGGAGGAAATTAAGCTTGAAATAAATGTTCTCAAAAAAGTAAGAAAGTAATCTAATTAGATGAACTGAGAGTAGTGGTATAGTTGATAAATATACACCACACAATGTCATGTAAGTTATGTAGAAAAATGATTAAGTTAAGAAAAAACAGTACTTTTTAGACACACAGCTTAATGCATCCCATAAATAAGGTAAAAGTAATTACATGAAACTATAAAGAAAACAGTACCCATGGTATACAACACACATTCTACATATGCTGTATGCAATTAGGGAGGAACTAAATGTCAGCATTACTTGAGAGAAACATATTTCAGAATGTTTGCCATTACATAAAACCAGTATTTCCACAATAGTTTATTTTCTGAAACATTTTTATTTTTAAAATTATACTTATGCAGCAAAAAAAATTTTATTCTATCATGAAGGTATTAATTTTCTGTATACTTTTGTGATTTGGTTGTGATATTAACTGTGTACATGTATTATTTGTAACATATTTCATAAACTGTACTGGTTTAATTGTGACTATAACTATCATCTTGTATTTCTAATAATTTCACTTAAGTTCTGCATATAGTTTATTATGTCTGTATATTGTCTGGATTGTTTTGGCATTAACTTAGTATGTTTTTTTTTTATAAACCTTCATTTTCTCATCATATTATCTACCAGTTTTCCTGATTTAATTGTGACTTTAACTGTATACCTGTAATTTCTCTTGACATACCTAATTCACAGCCCTTACTTTAACTATTTTTCTAGAGATGCTCAGAAAAAGCATAAATAAACAAGAGGCAGTATGCTCCAGCAGTTAAATTGCACAATCTGTCTGGGTGATAAATTATCAACTGTAAGAAAGCATGGCTTGTTAAGTGTGTTTGCCCTCTCTTTCCAAGAAGAAGAGTCTAACTGCTAGAATGAAAAGAAGCAAAATATTAATGACAAGAGAGGGAAGCATACCCAGAGCTAACCATGCATATCTCCTGTATCAGCTTAAGTGGTCATTCAATGTGTATACTGTAGCAAAGAGAGAGATGATGTTAGAAAGTGCCTATAAATAGTATAGTTTACTCTGGACTGTAGTGATTCTTGAACCTGAGCCAGGAAAATGAACTTTTTTGTGTCTGACTAAACAGAACTGTAGTTTATTAAGAATAGAGATATCAAGAAACACTGTTTCTATAACTCAGAATTGCTGAAAACAATGTAGAAAATACAATCTCTAAAGGTCTGCTTGTCCAGTTATTCTGTGTATTTTACATTCTACTTTCTTCATATCTTTAAAAACATTATTGTTATGTCCTTTTGTAATGACATCAACTGTTAACACTGCAGAAAGTAAGAAGTGACACTAAAGCAGGACTAGAACTCAGAACTTTTGCTGTATGAATCACCAAGAAACAAAAGCCTAGACGTTTTTAATCTTAATTAATGTGCTACATAAAATGTATTTTATGAATAAAACAGTATTGGAACAAAAAAATTTAGAAATAATAAAATTTTTTACAATGAAGTTTTTTATATTTTTATTGTATGCTGTTGCTAATCTTGGGTCTGTATAGGAACTTCTATAATATTATTATTCAATATCCCTCATTACTTATACATATCTGGAAAAAATATGATTGAAACAGCATTAACTTCCTTCCTATTTATATAATTTTAGAAAACTTGAGATATAATTGAAGGCTGATTTTTCTTGTATTTCAGTACTCTCATCACAGAAACATAGCAACATATTATGGTGCTTTTATTCAGAAAAGTCCACCTGGAAAAGATGATAAACTGTGGGTTAGTTGATACATGTTGTACTTTTGTTTTATGCATGTTTTAACACTCCTATATTAGATTATTGTCTTAAATGTGTCTATAATGATGATAATTTCTCAAAGCCTAAAATACCAGCTGCTTTTTTGTAATTCAAGTAGGTTAAAATCTATATATATCAATGCTGCTACTGGTCCTGTAATATATAGAATTTATTTTTGTCCTATAATTATTTTAAAGAGTTATTGACATATAGTAAAATGTAATGTTAGTGTCCAGTGACTTTATATTAATTATATAATAACATAATATTTATGGTGGTTCTTATATGACTGAATGATGATTATCGCCATCAACATAATAATGCATAATAAATACTAATATACTACCCATTGATGTAAACGGAGTGGATAATGTTTATTACGTGTTACAAAGCATGTTTTTTTTGTTGAATATGCACATGCACAGTGAATTTAGGTATTTTTGCTTAAAAGTAATCGAGACTAACACTACTGTTCCATTTTGCCATCTTCTTAGATGTTAATTTTTCAACAGTTTACAAATAAACATACTAATTTTAATTTACTCAAGAACTAATGAAAAAATGAAAGAAAAATCTCCCAGTACCTAGTTATATTTGTGATTATCTGTTGAGGAGAAGGGTTATTTCTAATACTAAAAAAAATTGTTGGTCCTAGCCATTTCAAAAGCCTTAGTAAAATATATTTTATTTTCAATGCTTCCATCAACCATTTTTTTTACCTGGAATGTTCTAGGTAAAATGTCCTATATTTCATTTGCAGAGGTGAGTAGGAACACTGATATATATATATATATATCACTTATAGAAGTGAGTAAAAAATACTGTCATGTATATATCACTTACAGAGGTGTGTAGAAACACACACACGTTTCAGGTTATTAGGCCCCCAAAACCTAAGAGGATTTACAAAATAGAAAATAAAAACAATTTGACATGTTTTTTCATCCTTGCATTGACTGAATTATATAACAGAAGTTATTAGCTGAAGAAAATATTGCAGAAGAACTATGTGAACATTAATTAAAGGATTTGAATTGTGGCTTATAAATTGAAATTCAGATTGTGAATAATGAAATTACTGTCTGAGTATTTGAATGGAGGAAACCACAGAGGATGTGAAGAGGAACTTGGTTTTCATATGTGAGTAAAACATTGAAATTTTAATTACACATACATGTAATTGTTTTCAAGAGTTAATGAATATATACCTGTTTGAAAACACTTTTCATTAAGTCATTGTGTAATAAATTTAGAATAAGTATGTATACAGTTTTTTCCTGTAGAATTATAATTTCATTTTTGTATTTTTTATATATTTTTCACTTATTACTATCACATGCATAGATTTTATGCATCACGTAATCTGTGAAATTAAAATAAAATGAGCAGCTTCATCATTATTATGATTTTTATGTAGTTTTTATTACAAGAGATGTTCTTTAACTCAATTATTTTTTTTCCAATAGTTGGTGATGGAATACTGTGGAGCAGGTTCTGTTACAGATCTTGTTAAATGTAAGATTGGGCTTGATTTTGTATTTAAAATAAAAGTTAAATGTTTCTAGAGTACTCCATGTAGTTGGAAAAAGTTATGCAATTAAGAACCCAATTGGGTCAAAATTGAAACATAAAAGAATTTTGGTAAATGTGTTTAGTTCTTTTATCATTAAGTTTATGATTACAATGATAAATTTAAAGTAATTAGTGTTGATAAAAAAAATGATGAATGAAAAACAGCTATAGAGTTAAGAATCATTTAGGGTCAAAATGAAAAACATAAAATGAGTGAAAAAATTGAGCTTAGATACTTCACCACTACAATCATCATTAGAATGATAAATGTAAAGGGATAAACATGGATTAAAAAATACCAAAAACATTATAATCAGTTATAAAATATAACAGTTTGGTACAAGTGAAATTTTTCAAAAGTCTGTAAGAAGACTAAACATATAACACAGAGGTTTTTACTTTTAAAATGTATAAACTAATTGTGATGAAACAAATTGGACACAGATGTTTGAACAGATCCTCCAAAAACTTAATCTAAGAAAAAAACAATTTGTTTTTAAAATTCCTGTTAAAATAATAACATTTCTTTGCCTCTCTTCATTATAGAACTACTCTGACAATGACATTTATTTCTAGTATTAAAATTTATTTTACACACCAATAGGCACTACATAAATTATATAACTCGTACATTTACAAAATGTGATGTATGCATAAATATCCATACTTTAAGACTCTTTGAACCTTTTCTAAATTATGTTTACAACTTTTTTTGGCCTGGCATGGTCTGGTGGTCCTTAGAATAAGGTTTTGAATGATTGTTTTAAATATATTTTCAGAAATGTCTTAAAAACATAAAGGTAATACTTGTGATCAAAAAGTGGCTTTCCTTTACACCTTCATCATCACATTGAATGATATTTACTGTAATATACTTAAGCAGCCAGTTTTATTGATAGATTTTTGTAACAGCTTAGTTGTTCATTGTTGACCTTTTTTTATTCAGCAACTAAAGGGCAGTCTCTCAAAGAAGAGTGGATAGCTTATATCTGTAGGGAGATTCTTCGGGTAAGTACTATAATGATTTAAGTGGTATTAATGTAAATAGTATGATTGGCTTCTTTTTTATAGAAAAGACTGTGAGAATATTAGAAAATGAACAAAATAGTTGTAAATAAAACAATTAAAAGTTGCATTGCTTTAAATATCTGCATACATAGCACTTTCTGTGTAGTTTAATAACTGATACTGTGAGTCTAGGAAACGCTAGTTAAAATATGTATATTTAACCCTCCTCAGGTAAACTGAATTGAACCAAACGAATAAGGATTTTAAGCATGAGTTTCTCTATAGTAGAACATTTAAATCAAACTAACAGGTGTTATTGTTCAGCTTATGATTTAATATCATATCTTGATTGTGATATCCTGTGATATCTTGGTTGTCAGTTGTAACTGTTTAGTATAGATGTATTTGTCATTGCTCTTTATAAACGTGCACTGTTTCTCAGTTATATATTTTGAGTTTATCATAATCATTTAATCCTATTAACATCTTTAACAGTATTTGTTATATATGCAAAAAAATATGCATTTTAAAACTAAAAAAAAGCATCTCCCATTTGAAGAAGAATAAAACTTTAATATAAATTAAAGGTATTTGTTATAATATACTATTAAAATGTATTTTCTGTTCAGTGAAAATTAGTAGAATTAACTGAAGAGTTTATAATTATGCAACACTAACCAAAATATTATTTTATGTTTTAGGGTTTAAGTCACCTTCATGCAAACAAAATTATTCATAGAGACATAAAAGGTCAAAATGTTCTTCTCACAGATAATGCAGAAGTAAAACTAGGTGAGTGTTTATGAATAGAGTAGTTTGTGATAAGAAGTTTGTGGAATTAGTGAATTAGATTACATATTATGGCTTCTAGAATTTTTCCTAAAATGTAATATGAAAACACTTAGATTTTAGGTATTACTGTGTATTTAATTTTGGGTTTGTAAATGTCATGTAGAATGAGAATAAATTACTGTATTGTGTTTTTGACACACATAAAAGATATATTTTCCAAGTACAGTAACTTTCAAGTGAACATTGTTTCAGTATGTTTTGTTTAACAGCTGGAAATATATTAAAAGATACCTATATTTTCTTTCAGTTGATTTTGGAGTGAGTGCCCAATTGGATAGAACAATAGGGAGAAGAAACACTTTTATTGGGACACCATATTGGTAATTTTTTTCAATGCATAAATTAAAAGTGTTCCTCATTAAAGATATTAGTTTAAAGTATTTCTTCATTGTATTTCAAGGCTAAATAGTTGCTAGATTTGACATTCCTCTGATGCGTACTATGATCTTATTGTATCTTGTCAAACCAGATCTGGCAGATTTTGTGATGTGAAATATGATCATATTGGATCCTGTCAAGTTATATCTGGTGACCTATAATGTAATTGTATCTTGTCAAACCAGATCTAATATTTCTGTGATGCATAATACGATCATACTGGATCCTGTAAAGCCAAATCTGGCATTTCTGTAGTGGACAGTATGACCATGTTAAATTCTGTTAAGCCAGATCTAGCATTCTTGCAATGCATAATATAATCATACTTGATCCTGTAAAGCCAGGTGTGTCATTTCTGTGATTCAAAATATGATCATAGTAGATACTATCAAGGCAAATCTGAAATTCCTAGGGTAAGTGATGTTACCATTGGTCCTAATATATTATTCCATATTAAATCATATCGAGCTTGTTAACATTGATAAATCATAGCTTAAGCAACTAAAATCCATAATAATTATTTTTATACTTATTTTAAAACTTAAAGTTTATATAAAAAATTGCCTCTGCCTGAATAATGTTGTGATTTACTTGCATTCATCATACTTACTTGATATTAAACACACATAAACGTTAATGCTCTAAAAGTCATTGAAAGTCGTGCCAATAGTCACAGTTCCAGTCTTTTGTAGCTGTATGCAGTTTTGAAATCTTAAGTTAAAATGGGAAACTATGAAAGGACAAAATTTAACATCAAATTTTAAATGAAAAAGCTACTAGTTGAAAGTTGAACCTATTTGTACTTTGAGTATGATGACCATTCTACATTATTTGTACTATGAGTATGATCACCATACTATGTTATGATAGATACATAGGAAGTCTATCCACAAACTTAACTTAAAAATTATGTTAGGATTGATGAAAGTAAAAATCTTTAGTTTTTTCATAGTCTTTAGGACCATGTTTATTTTATCAATATACTAATGCAAAAACTTGCATTGTACTCTAAGAAAAATCAAAATTCCTCTTAAAAAAAGATACAAGTTTTTTCTAAATACTATATACTTTTGATTTTCTTAAAAAGAATATTATTCTAAAAAAATATATTTGTTCTTACTTTTTTGGCCTGAGGTCTTCTGTATTTTAATGACTTTTGCTAGAAATTCAGCTAATTTGAAATATAATACCCCATTATCATTCTCCAGCATGTTACTTCTTTGTGTATCCAGTTGTATTATACAGCTTAATGCACTTAAGATAAAGAAGTAGAAAAAATAATGCCATTAAAAGTGTTAGTATTTGGAACTTTTAAACAGGCTGAGTCAAAAGTCTTGATTTTTCCTATTATTGTGAAGTAGGTGTAGAATATTGAAAATCTGTTGAAATAAGTTGTTTAGGCATATTGGGGGCCACTTGTTACCTGACATGACGTCATGATGTAAAGTTCATCCATATTCATAAATTTTCATAATTTTATAACTTTGTATCAAAGTGGAATATTTTCAATTAAAAAAAAAGTATAAAAAATTCTGCAAAACTCATGAAGAAAGCATTGTTTCTGAGGTAATGTTCTGAACTACAATTTTTGTGCTGATACATATTACCTCAGACTAATAGTTTCAGAGATAGAATTTGACTGATCTAGTCAAACTAATTTTTGTAGCTGCCATTTTCTCATAATTTAAAAACAGTATTGAAAACTGCAGCAATTAAACAAATACTTGAAATTCAATAATGCCCTATTAAGCCCATCATATTTAAGTACAAGTGAAACTTTAAGTTTGAAAATTGGAAATATTATTGATGTAGTTAAATGCTGGATTTTATAAAGTCTGATGTTGTTTTTTTTGTTATTCTTCATCTAAATCATTATATTCTATAGCTGTTTGACACTTGGTAACTCAAACAACAAAGTGTGCAGTATGTTTAGTTCAAAAATCATGAGTCTTTTGTCTAAAATAACTTTGATGTTTCATTTTAATGTAATCGAAAATTTGTAAAAGTCTCATGAGAATATCTGTATCACTACATGTAATCTTTTTTTAAAAGCAAATATATAGATGTTATATAGATTTATGAAAATAATAACCCTTTTTTTAATTTTCCTAATTTCTAAATACACATTTACTCTCAGAAACAGAAAACTTTTTAATCAACTTATGAAATACTTTGTGCTACCTACAAATGATATTAAGATAAACAGCATTTTTCAGCACAAATTAAGTAAAATACACAAGTTAATTAAAAATCATCTTACAAAAATGTACAGTATATTACCTGACTAGTTTTGATGCACCATGTACATAATTTTCAAGGTTATATATATTTTTTTTTGTAGGATGGCACCAGAGGTTATAGCTTGTGATGAAAACCCTGATGCCACATATGACAACCGAGTGAGGTTTATTTAAGTAGAATAATGTAACAAATAGTGCAAATAAATAGTATAGTTTTAAATAATATAAATAAAATTTATGTCATCCATTTTGTGCTTCCTAATTAACTTTTAATATTTGAAAAATTATGCTTGAAATACTTAATAATGTCTAATAAATGTTTGCCATTTTGTTTTCCATTGTTTTTTTTTGTGTGTAAAATGTTAAATTTTAGACCTGTCATGAGTACAAAAGTTAACTTTCTTTTGAGTGGTGAAAACTGTAGTTCATTCTCCTAGTGTTGAATACAGTTTTTTGAAGTGAAGATGATTATCTTTAAGCTGGTTCATGATAAACAAAAATAAAAGAGAGAAAATGAAAAATGTAGTTATCTTGCAGTCTTTAATCATTAAATTGAAATGTGTTTCTTAACTTTAGAGCGACCTCTGGTCTTTAGGAATCACTGCTCTTGAAATGGCAGAATCTCAGCCACGTAAGTAATAGAAAAACAAAGTTATGTGATATTTTGAGTCTTTAAATCAATTTTGATGCAAATTGTATTGTGAAGATTTTATTGAAAACATATATGGATTTAAAGTAAAATATATTTTAAAAAATACATAGTTTATCCTATGTTCTGAGTAGCTTGTGTATGTAAATACCAAATCTTCAGAAATGTACAATGCATATTGATAGACATTGTTTCCTTGTTCTAGCCTTGTGTGACATGCATCCAATGCGAGCGTTATTTTTAATTCCACGTAATCCACCTCCACGCTTGAAGTCCAAAAAGTGGTCAAAGAAATTTCAAAGTTTTATTGAGACATTACTTGTGAAGGACTACCAACAGCGACCATACACAGACCAACTCTTAAAGCATCCCTTTATCAGGGACCAACCAACAGAGAGACAAGTGCGTATCCAGCTAAAGGACCACATTGATAGGTACCAAAAGCACAAGAAAGGTAAGATGGAAATATAAGGCTGTATCTTCAGTATCATTTAATATCATGAAACTTGCTTACTAGATAACATTACTCTGCTACTTTTTCCTGGTGTAAGAAAATAATGATCACCAATTTATTCATGTTTTGACTAACACAGTGTTTTAATAAAACAGTTGTTAGTTTTATGTGTAGATCTTAACCTTTATAAGAATGAAACTGATGTGACATAGAAAGGATAAAGTTTCATGTTACTATAGTTTTACTCTGTTTTTCTGGACTTGCATTTTTAAAAGGATGATAATGATGACTGAATAACTGGTAGATTTGTTTATTTCAATAATTAGGTACTGCAAGAGTGGAGATGTAGTCAATCTAAGAAAAACGTTTAGTAGAAAGTCCTCAATAATTTACCCTGTTTATTAATTCTTTAATTCAACAACAGGACCACAATTAAATTAAAAAAATTTGTTTCATAACTTACAGTAGTACCAGAAGGTTCATATAAAAAACATGTAATTGCAAAGGCAAATTTGCATTAAATTTTTAACAGTTGCATAAACACCTTGCTAGTAAACCTTTGAATTAATTTTTAACTAAAGTATATCGCTAGATATAATTGAGTTTATACATGCAGAGTTTTTGCTTATAAACATTCAAAGCTATAGTAAAGTGGATAATGTGACATGCTCAGCTGTTATATTTTTAGACTAAATCCATTTTTACAACCAGCTAGTGACTTTTGTTGAAAGTGCCATTTGTTCATAGTATTGCTCAAATGTAAACTTTCCAGTAACCACAATAAACATTTATTTGCAATTACTTTTACTATAAGATGATATGTATTAAAAACATTTGTAAGGGCATTAAGAAAAATCATATTCCTTTATCATTATTTAACTTTTTTTTTGTTATTAAAACATTAAGTTTTTCAAACTATTTTATGATATGATATGTTGAAAGAGGGAACTTTTAGAGAATACTTTGTTTACTCATAACAGTTACTTTCATATTGTAAAAAATGCACTTCTTTTCATAACTGTTACTAGTGTTCTATAGTGAAGTATAATCTCAAATTATAAAACTGACAGTGTATAATTTATAACTTTAAATTGAACATGACAGCTTTTACTGTTTATTGTATTTCAGTTTGAAGTTATGGTATTTATTATATAAAAATCTCACTGTTATAGTGTTTAGGTAAAATTTATGACAACTTTGTATCTACCTGTCATATTTCAATTCGTTGAATTGAAAATATAGGTACTTATTAAATGAAATTCTTAACCAAGAGATTCTGATAGGTATACAAGATGTGTATGCTTCTTTTTTTAATATAGCAGTATAATTAAATTATTTTAACCCTGTTCATGGCAGTAAACTCACAAACAGGAATGAGCTTCTTTTAGTGATGGGCCAAGAATTTCTTCTCAACACAGACAGGCCAATTATGTTTTAACATAAAGTTGGTTTTAGCTAATCATCTATCTTTGAAACTAAGTATACATGAAGTGTACAAATGTTTGAACTATCAGAAATGAAACTGACTGTCAATGCTAACAGTTTCTTGAGGCTTTAGAAGGAAGAGCATTTTATATAAGAATAACAAACAAGATTCTTTATTGAAAAAATAAATAAGGTAAAACATGAACAATACTTTTCTTGTAATTTTTTCAAAGATTATATATATATCTCATATATTTATGAAACTAATGCTTTTGAATAATTATAACATTGATTTATTTAATTAAATAACAAATCATTGGATTATTTAGTATTTCAGTTTAAAAGCCTTGTATATCATTTTTTAATAAAGTTTGTAACAGTGATAAACTTAAAAGATCAGCATATAAACTTTTTATTGCTTTCAACTGGCATGGAAATTGAAACTGTTCCTAACGTTTTGATTATTATTAGTAAGAATTTTACACTATCTTTTGTGCTAGGAGAATCTCAAGATGTATATCGGTATAGTGGTAGTGAAGGAGAGGAGGAAGACACACCACCCACAGGAGAGTCTAGGTGATATAAATATACTTTTCAATCTGAATCTTTCAGAATGATACATCTCCAGATTTAACATTTAAGGGACTTGTACGATAATCTTTTTTAGCTTTGGTTGTATGCAGTAACATATAACCACAAAGTCCTACTGCACACATCATTATTAGTACTATGAAATCATTTTTACAACATGCAGACACTGAAAACAAGACTGTTTTGGACCTTTACTCATTGCATTAGTAATGTTAGCAAGTTTCTATAAATGTGCAACAGTTGAATCACCAACAGTAGTTACCAGTGTCAATAAACATCATAAAGTCACTTTTAACAAAAGCTTAAACTCACTCTGTGAACATTAAAATTGTTTGTGGCTAAACAACATATTCATCAAAACATTTATCAAATTGGCTGTTTTGAAACTTCTATTATTTAATGATTATATGTTTCACATGAAGTATTGCTTTATCAAATACACCACGAATAGAATTGGGTAAAGTATCATGTGTTTTTCCATTGATTGTATTATAAAATCTTGCATTATTAGTACTGGGCTTTAACAAGATTTGACTTCACTAATAAGATTTGTTATTGATTTTCATTGAATGTTTACAGTGTATAGTATATCACATATTTTTTGTTGTCTTAAAGTTTCTGCTTACAATGAAATTTGAGAGATGAGGCTCAAGCTCACCTAAGCCTGTTTTTTATGTTCAACAAATTGTGCTACAAAATTGTTGTAAATTTTTTTTTATGTGTGCAAAAATCTTAAATATAGTATATAGGGAAATAGTGGAATAAGATGAAATGTTTTAATTATTTGCAAAAAATATTTAGTGAAGTAGTAAATAGTACCTTCTTTTTCCAGTTCAGTTAATCCTATTCAGCGTGACTCAACCTTGAGAAGAAACTTTCAGCAGCTTCAGGAGGGGCACACACTACCTTCCAGTGAAAAACCAGGCTCTAGTAATCTACCTTCTCTGGGGGGTCCACTCGAGATACCAGGACCTCCTGGGAAGCCTCCAGTACCTCCTCAAAGGCTGATTGGTGAGGAACTAGAGATAAAACCATTACACCTTTACAAAAACATACTTTATATATATTATATGTATAGTATTTTCATCAAACTCTAGAAGCATGTTTTTACTGGATTTTCTATCAAAATCATAATGTATTTGGTTACTTACACAGAGATTGTTGACCTTTAAAAGTCTTAAATAAATTTCACAAACACAGATTTCTAAGGGAGCGTTAGCTGTTTAGTAAATGCACAGAAATTTTGATATATAATAAGTAGTAGTAGAGTAAATAGAAAGAAGCTTTATTCATAGAAACAGAAAAAAGCTTTATAGCCTATTTATGTATAATTCAAGCAGAAGGAAGTTTTATAATGTATTTGTATATATAATAAACAGAAGAAAGATTTAGGATGTATTTCTGTATAGTAAGCAGAAGGAAGCTTTTTGATGTATTTATGTATAATAAGCAAAATGAAGCTTTGTATAGCAAGCGGAATAGTCCTTTATGTTCATATCCAACATGATGGAGCTTTAAAGGTATATCAAACAAAGGAAGCTTTAGAAGTAAAGGTAAAGATAATTTTAATGTATGCTAAGCAGGAGGAAGTTTTGATGTAGAATTCAAGAATGGTACTTTAGTTAGAGATACAGCAAATTAAAGGTGCTTTAGAAGCTGGGGAGACAGGCATTGTGATGGAGGCCTGGGGTGAATATAAAACTGTCCTGAGAAGTGGTTAGTACAAAATATCGGGAATATTCATGACTAATGTTATCTAAATGCATTTTAAAGATTGTTTGAAATACCAGTTTCCTGCTTAAATGGAATTGCTAAAAATAGGTTTTGCCTATCTTGCCAAACATAGATGATTACTTTTATACCATAAAAAAATATAAACAATAAAAATGTTCTAATACATAATATTATTAATTCTGTTTGCAATACAACAGTGAGCAATTTTCAAAAAGAAAAGATAGATACTTTCGTATGATTAAGGACATGTGAAACTACAGAATAGAGAGATTTGAGAGTAGTTTACTTTAATAGTTGTTATAGTGTGAATGCCTTTTGATGCCAAAGCAAACAAATAACAAATATAAATTGATAGTTTACTTTTTTTGTTTTTGAGATTCACTATAATTTGCCATTTTATTTCCTTTAACATAAAAGTCTATAAATGGTCTTAAGAATGAGATTGTCAGATAATTAGCACACTAAAAATCATTATTGGATTGAAAACAAAACTGTCAAGTTCAGAAGCTGTTTATTGTGTTGAAAACAAAGTGGTCAAATTCAAAAGCTGTTACTTGACACATCAGTCGCCAATAATAAATAATTAAGCCATGGGGCTATTTCTTTTCTGTCTAGTCTATATTCAGTAGACTTACCATGAACTGGTAGAAACAATAGTTTACTTCTAATGCTTAATTTCTTGATAACCAGTGCATGAAAAAGCATAACATGTCTTTGTAAAAATACAATAATGATTTGTTATTTGTTAAATGTTCAAACAAATATATTGCGGCTAGACTTTACATTTTGAAAGGAAAAAGGAAGTCAAGAAAGAAGTGCTTATGGTGCGTATTTATAACCTTGTTGAATCAAACTAAAAGAAGTTAGACACTGTGGATTATTTTAAGTAACTGCCAGGACACCTTTTCAAATTGGGACACATGGTAAGCCTAAAAATAATGAACATTTAAGTAACAGGGCTCACAGGAATGTTATTAGTAAATAATCTATGTGAAAATCCATAACCATTCTACAATAAATTCTGCTCTGCCACAGCCCACCAGGAAATCTCCCTACATTTCTTTGGGCTTATCTGCAATTGTTTAGAAATAAAATAAGTGTCAGTGTATACCAAGTGGAAGATGTGCAAGCAAGCAGAAAGAAACTTTATATTCATAGTTAGGAAAAGGGATGTTTGTGTGTATAGCAAGCAGAATGTAGCCTGAATGATATAACAAGAAATGAACAGCTTTAGGTATTTTTTAGTGTTGTTTATTATTGCAGGGCAAGTGGATATTTCTTAGCTGGTAAATATAGATTTTTTTTACCAAGAAACGAATTTGAGGGTCGAGAAAAAGATAAAAAATACTTGGGATATTTATTATTTCATTATTCATAACTTAAAACAGTACTCTTGTTTTTAGTTGTACCAGATCCACTACCACCAAGTAAACCTCTCCCACCTATTCCAGTTGAAGAAGAAAAACGAGAAAAGGAGCGAAAACCAGCTACACCTCCTAGAAATCACCATCCAGCCCAGCCTCCAAGGCCTCCAGAAAGTTGGAACTCTGCTATGTTCAAAGCCCCACTTCGAAGACCAGATGTAGGTACATTCAGGGCAAAAAATAAAAATAAATGAGTTCTTTGCACATCTCAAATATTCATGGTTTTCCCATGGTAAAAGATTTTAAGAAAATTATTTGAATGCCATAATGCAATTTTAAGTTAAATTACATTCCTTGCTAGTGTGACAAGTTGATGACCTAAGAGAATGTGATTATCATTAACTTCTGATCCGAGTGAGCTACCTGCATAACATAGATCAGAATTGGAAGTTAATTCTAGTAAGTAATATAGCTAATTCAGTATACTGTTCTAATTAGGGTTATGAAATGTTATAAACTTATAATGTTTCAAATACACTAATTCATTAGTGTGTTACTCTTACTTTTAGCAATATTATAAACCATAATCCAAATAATATTTCAGAAAATTTGCCAGATTAGTGGATTTAAATTTTTACACGACAACATTTCAATATAATTTTTCAGGCTGAAGATAAAAAGAAATTCCAATAGATACCTACATTTTCTCGACTTCTACTGCCCTCTATCGGCACAGATTTTCACTTGTCAGTAGCCTTGATACTCTCACTTACCCTCACATATGTTAACATGAAATATCTACATACTAACATGCAAATGATTATGCAACAACCCTTCACCAATAGGAGTGCAAACTACCCCTATTGTAACTAGTGCCCTCTCTAATCTTGCAGCTGTTAACTATTTCTCAGTTGGCAGTCTTCTTGTGTGACATGTTTTATGCTCATGGTTCACATATGCAAAAGTTTTTACTTTCTTATTTTTCAGACTTCTTTTCCATATCAGTTACATTTGTTATTTCTTGTTTTTGTTCTATATGGAGATTTTTTTTTCCCTTTCTCTCCTACTTTGCATTCACAGTTTCTGGTGGTCTTGACTACAACTAATGTTACTGCTGCAGCAGATTTATCAACCACATCCATGGTGTCTGAACCGTGATTATTGGCCCATAAAGTGATGGTAACTTGTGTGTGAAGAATTGGCCAATTTCATGCAACATTTAGAACACACTGATGAAGGTCTCTTTGGAGTCAGTTAGTGATCACACACTCCGACAATTCTACAGTAGTCTCATACACCACCAAGCAAGGGGGCACTTGGTTGAGAGACCTCTTGTTTTTCAAGCACTGGATCTTCTGTATTGAGCTCACAGCCATCACATCACTTTGTTGCCGTGTCATATCCAGGTGCCTTGAATCTTGTTGCAGATCAGTTATCTCATCCCAACAAGATTCTACCTACAGAGTGGTCTTTGGATACATACATTTTTTTGGGGGTTGTATGCTCAGTGGGGTATCCCAGATTTGGATGTTATAGCTATTCATCTCAATACACAATTTCCCGATTTTGGTCTCCTGTTCCCCATACTTTGGCAGGGGCAATAGATGCTCTCAGTCAGAATTGGATGGGTTGGTACCTATATGCATATCCTCCTACTTGTCTCTTCCCATGTGTCCTTGCCATGATTCAGACCACTCCATGTTGCATTCTGTTGGTGGCTCCTTATTGGTCGGCTCAAACGTGGTTTCCACTGCTGCACTGGCTTTTGGTGTTGCCCATCTTTCTTTATTTCTGACACTACTACGCCAGCTCCAATCAGGCATGCGTCATCCATTCTTTCCCATACTCTGTCTTCATACGTGGCTTTTGTCTGGTCCCTCGCCAGAGGGGCTGGACGTTTGCAACATGTGGCTTCCTTAATTTCCCATCCAAATCATCATTCCTCCATGGCGGTTTAGAATCACAAGTGGTACATGTACTGCATTTGGTCTGTCTGATGAAGTTATCATCCTTGCCATCTTACGGTTCCTCACATCATGCCTTTTTGACAGGGGTCTTTCAGTTTTCTCTGTTGTGTATTGTTCACTCCTTCTGCATTTTCAGTCCTCCTCGCTCAGCTTCTCTCCCTGATTGGAACCTCAGTGTGGTCCTACATGCTCGTACCCATCCTCCATTTAAACCTTTGTCATAGTGTTTGTTACATCCCCTTTTCTTGAAGTCTCTTTTCTTGCACATGTTTGCATGTGGATGTTGTCATTTTGATATTTTCATAATTGATTTCTGATGCATTTTTTTTCATAGTTCCTATGTTCTTTTTTCCTAATCATTACTTAATGCCCAAAACTTTGGCTGCTTAAGAGAGTAATTCTGCATTCACACCCATTTCCCTTCCTTCTTTATCCCACTTTTATGACCATTCTGATCCTAACTGCCTCCTTTGCCAGATCAGGGCTCTCCAATGGTATACAACATGCATTTCTCCCTTCTATGGTTCCAGTTTTTGTTTGTTTATTCTTTGGAATTCTAACCTTTCCTGTGACCTTTCTCCTATTACCCTTATGGGTTGGATTCATCAGTTGATTTGTCTGGCATATTCTTTTCTTTCTCCTGATGATTGTAATCTTTTTCATGTTTCTTCCTATCAGACCTATCACCTTACAGTGTCCCTTGCTGCGCATTTCCATCTTTCCTTGGAGGACATCATCCGTGCCAGTATGTGGACTACTCCACATACTGTAACATCACATTATCTTCATCAAATGGCAGTTTTCTACTCTTCAGGTTTATGCATTCCTCCCATTGCCATTTTGCACACCTCTGTTTCTTTGTGAGTGGTAAGTACTCCATTTTATTTTCTTTGCAGGGGACTTTCTTGCATATATGGATCCCATATTATGGTGAGTGTTGCCTGACCAGGTGTACTTAGTCTTAAATCTGCACTGTAAATCTGGTGCTCATATAACATATCAGATGATCTGTGGCAATCAGACTCTTCCTACCACGGGCCTGATGTATCATTCCAGATGCTGCCAGTTGTTGGTTCACTGACTCTGTCAATGTGATCTCTGTTTTTCCAAGTACAATGTCATATTACACCCACCATTGAGATGTGGGTGTTCTTCGAGACTGCTAGTAGCTATACCTCATGGTCTTTTGCTTCATAAATATGTTCAACATGAACTATATGCTCATGGACTAACATGAGTAAAGCAGACAGGGATTACTGCCCATCTCTGATGATCCATGGCATTTGAGGCTCTACCTGCCATGGACCTTATGTATGAATTCAGACACTGTGAGGTCTGAAACTCCAGACTTTCCAATGCACTTTTTCCTCCTTCTTCTAGTGGAGTATGGAAGTCCTTTCCACTTACCAGTTCCTAGTTGCTGGGATGGTGGACCATGGAGGCCCATCCTCCCGAGTGTACACAATACCACTGAGTTGAGAGTAGGGTGGTGCCATTCTGCCAGCATAGATGGTGTGACACCCTTACTACCATGGACTTGATGTTCAATTCCAGATGCTGCCAGGTGTTGGATGTATTTCCCCTCCAGCTGAGGCACCCTCCTTCCTACTGTCCACCAGCTGCTAGTTCCCAGTGGATCTGGTGTTGGTTAGAGCTGGACCAGCCACATAAGTCCTCACATGTATTTGGATGGTCACTCTCTTCCTACCGTGGACTCGATGATAAATTTTTAATGCCACCAGGTTTTGGACTGGAGATGCAACCTCAAATAGTAGGCCTTCTTCCTACCTTCTGCTGGGTTCCGTTTCACAGTAAATCTGGTGTTGGTTGTAGCTGGATGAGATGCATGTTTTTCCACATGCATATGGTTGGGCACTCTCCAATTCCCAATGCTGCCAGATTTTGGATGGGAGATGAACACCCACCTGGGCTCTCCACCTTCCTGCTGCCTGCCAGATGTCAGTTCCTAGTGGATCTGGCATTAGTTGTGTTGGAGGGGCATGCTTGCAGTAAGTTTTTGGTATGGAAGATCCTTTTCCCTGCCAGTACCTGTTTTTGAGGTAAATGGTAGAGGACCCTCTTCCTACTGTACAATTTCAGATGCCAGGTGTTGGTTGAGGTTGAACTCTCATTTATGGTCTTCCACACCCTAGCTACTCTATGCCTAGGAGTTTCTTTATTTCTGTAATTTTTTCATGGGATCCATTCTTTGTTTCTGCCCTTTTGGTGACAGTACTCAAGGGCAAAGATTATACCTGGCTCAGAAGTGGTGTGGTCTCCCATGAGGGTGTTGTATTTAGGTCATTCTCAAACCCCAGGATTTTCCTTTGGGTGCTTCATAAAGGAGGATCATCATCTCACTGACCCTCCACCTGTTTAATGCAGGATTCTAGCTTTTTGTGAGAGGGGGTAAGATATTGTATCAGAAGTTAACATTTTCCTAAACTGAAAATGTATTTCCTATAGATACTTACCTTCTCTCACATTTCCCACCCATCCTCCCCACCTCTGACAGGGTTTGTTGGAAACTGATCAATCTCAAAATGATTAATAGCTGCAATGTTAGAGAGGGTGCTAGTTATGATAGGGGTAGTGCCACATTCCTATTGGTGTAGGGTTGCTGCATAATCATTTGCATGTTAGTATAGAAATATTTCACATTAACATACATGAGGGTAAGTGGGAATATCAAGATTAGTGACAAGCAAATATTTGTGCCAATAGAGGGCAGTAAAAGTCAAGGAAAGCTTTTTGTGAAGTGAGAAGAGTTAGGGAGCTATTGGAAATACATTTTCAGTTTAGGAAAATGTTAACTTTTGAATTTTGCAGGCAGGCTTTAATGCACAGCAAACCCACTTAGAATCAGACTACTAGCATGCTACTGCTGGTTGAAAATTATTGAAAGTGTCTTAAAATATAAAATAAGGATTAAACTGAAAGTGTATGACTGAAAATATTGTGAAGAAGTACTTACTTATTTTAGAGAACAGGTTGTATCAAAAAGATATTGACTTCCTGAAGACCAAAATTTTGAATTACCTTTTAGAATAGAAGTGATTTGATAAATAATAACTGAAAAATGCTTTCTAGTTCTGTTCAATAGAATGAATAATATTATGCTCTTTCTAGAATCTTGAAATCCAATAAACAGTTCATTTCAAAATAGATGAGTAGAGGAAATATATATTCTGATACATGAAAAAGTTTGGATTTAAAAAAATATATATTTTTATTGAGATCTAAGGAACCTTAAAAAATGGTTGAATACAGAACATCAAGTTTGACATCAAAGTTTTATGTTTATGTGGACAACGAAAGGTGTGTTAAGCTTAAATGTCTAAACATTGGGCCTTTAAATGATGCTAGTAGGAATGCTCTTACTATGCAAAAGCTTAGAAGGGAAGTCTACCATATTTTTGTTATTGTCAATGGTAAAGAGGAGTGTTCTTGTGTTTGTAATTTGTTTAATGATGAAAATGATTAATATGTAGGTTTTATTGAAGTTGGGAAGATTGGTGGTTTGGCAAAATATCAAGAATGCAAAGCTTGTGATATGATTTGATGCATCCTAAATCTTTGAATGAACTCTGTGAGGGTCTAACATAGATTTAGTGGTTAACTTTCCTTTCAATAGTCTCTAGACAGGGAGAAAATTCCTCATTACTGGTAGATCGGTTATGTGGTTTTTGTTTACTAATAGAAACTTGCTGAGGGAGAATCCTAGGAATAAATTACTTTCAGTGACTTCTGTTGTTAGCATGGTGTATGAATCTGTTGTAACAGGTCACTTGCAGAATTATTTGAACAAAAAGGAATTTGATAGGTAGTTCTTTGCATGATCTTAGGAAGGGCTTCCTTGTGTTATTCATTTGTTCACGTCTTATCTGGATGATGTTAATTTTTTTGGATAGTTTTGACATACATTTTCCAGGAGGCTTTTGTAAGGTACTGTACAAGTAAATAGTCAAGTTTGATTATTAGAATATGAATGAAAAGATTAAAAAGTGGATTAAATTTTTGCTCAATAGTAGAATGCAAACAACTATGTTTCTCAAAGGATCTTTTTGGAGGATTTTGATTATTTGTATGAATTAATAGATAACAATGAAATTTTCTAGAGTAACTAATGTAGAGTTACCTAAAGGTAGTGTTTAAGTGCATAAACAAGTGGATTGATGGTTTGAATTTGGCAGTGTTTTCAGTTTTACCAGCTTTATGCCATAAATGAGAGCTCATTGTTGCGTATGGCATGGATACCATTGCATTGTACAAACAGATCATGTGCTATGACTCAAAATAGTGGCAGGGAGTGTACCTTCCTCTTATTTATTTATTGCATTACCTTTTAAGACTGACATTGTTGGGTACCTTTTCAATATTGCAATACTGTTATAGCTGACTAGATTGACATTGGCATTTGGATATTGTGTGATAGATGGGATATCCCCAAAGTATTTGGGTGCTATTACCACAGACATTATCCATTATGACAATAAGTTGACAACCAGGACCAATAACAGTATTGCGATATTTAATTCATTATTGTTTTAGAATGCTGATTTATTCGCCTATAAACAATTAATGTGATCAATAGTTTGTATGCTATTTATTTATTTATATATATATATATATATATATATAATGATAACACTAAGTTGCTAGTGAACATTGATACTGAGGATAAAATGGTGTTTTTATTCAGAAGGACATTCATAAACTTAGTGATTGATCAAGAACTTATAAAGTTTATTTCATATTATTGAGAAGTGTAAAGCCTTACAAATAAGATATAGAAACATAGAAAATAATAACTTCTTTTGTGAAAAAATCCTGTTGATATTAAGAGGGATAAAAATCTGGATGTGATTACAAGAAATGCTTGAAGCCTTTCCTGAATGTCTGGCATTTATGACTGATCCTGACCAGGTTCCGGGATTTAAGAATAAAATGATTGGTATAAACTTCTATGTGACTGGGAAGACTTTGTGTGGATGACTTAAGTATCCATATTACAACAAAGATTTTAATTAGTTGGTAATTGTAGAGGGAAGGATTAATGACATGATAACTGATTAAAAATTTTTGAGCTATGAGCTTGAACAGTTAGAATTGATATGATTCAGGTTTAAAAGTTGTTAAGGGTTTCATTGGGCTGCCTGTTGGAAGTATGTATTTTATTTCTTGGTGATTGGAAATTAAATATGAATAAAGTTAACAAATAAAAATTTTGACAGCTTAAGCCTTGTTCTAAAGCAAAGGTTATTTATCTTTTATAATTATCTTGATGCTGTCGTATGTGCTATTTGTGTATGTTGAATAGTTATCTGAATCTAAAAGGTTACTTTAAATAGGCTTATGTTAGTTTTATTGTTAGATTGACTTTGATGGACTAAATGTTATTGTGTTATCTTGCTCAATCTTTCATTTTTAGATGACCTTGATGGACTTAATGGTATTGTGTTACCTTGCTCAACCTTATGTTTTTATGGCTACTTGCAGGATCTTGAGATATTAGCAGCACAACTAAATGAATTAGCACTTGGTAGTAACAATAGTGGAGGATTGGGAAGAGCCAACGGAAGAGGGCCAGCCATGCCTACTGTTAATGAACAACCAGCCCGCATCAATGGAAGCACTCCTGAACAAGGCCCCACAACAAGTGTTACCTACTCTGATTCTGATGACGATGATGATGAGGATGGACAAGTTCAGAATGATGGGACACTTCTAGCATCAGATCCACCTAGACCTTTGTGATTAAAATATTTTCATTGTTTATTAATTGTAGTGCTAAGCAGTGTTTATATTTATGCACTTTTTTATTTGTGTAAATGCACAAATTTTAATATTGGGGATGGAGAAATTAGCTTTATAATGCATCCCAGGGATGCAGGATAAAATTACCTTCATGTTGCTCTTTTAGTCCTATTCACCAATATATAGATTTCAATAAATTTGAGATATTTTGTCTGCATTTTGCTTTGATTCGACAATACAACTTCCATACTGTTTCCATGGCAGTTTGGCTTGGATGCATCCTTATCTGTCTTTAAGATCATGTACTACTTAATGAGGAAGGTCTTGTGGTATGTAAAGCTGAAATGAGTGAAGGCCTTGCTATGTTGACCACCTTTGATTTGAGTAATTATATGAAAGACAGTGACACAAATATGTTTTTACAAGACACTTCCTAGCATTTGCTGCTAGGACAGGTTTTTTACCATTTTCATCATTGGGGTTATCATCTCTGAATTAAAATGTTAGAAATGCATGTCTGAGGTTTGCAGGATGTTGTCACCCCTTTTTGCATTCTGATGCTAGACTAATGGTTTTGTCCAGAGCAGGGTCGCTTCACTTCTTTATCTATTAAAAGCATGTGTTACTATGGAATTAAGCTAAAGTGTTTGCTAGGGGGTACAAATTAATTTTATATTGGATTTAGGAACATTCTGTAAAATTCTTAGAATAATAGGACTCTCTTGCTTAAATCACAATGTTTGGTTGCACTAAAAAGAAAAAAGTACAGATATTTTGAGTAAGAATGACTGACAAAATTCCAATGCCTGCAATATGACACAATGAAAAATTTGAAGAGGCTGCTTCAAATTTTTGCACAATGCAAAATAGTGATCAAAACAAAATTAATCACAGTAAGTTAAACTTAAGTATCACAGACTTGAGCTTAAAAATTTGTATCTAAAGAACCATTGTAATGTAGAAAAAATTGAAAATTCTGATATTTTTATGTTTTATGTAAAAATATAAGGGAGTCCAGCATTATTGTAAACACTGTTGCCAAGTAGAGACTGAAACAGTGTTGACTGTAATTGAAATAGGAAAATTAAGTATATTATATATTATTGAAAAAGACAATTATTGGAAAGTATCGTAGATGTTATTGTATTTAGGCATGTTTTCCCATTCAATTTTGTACTAATGAAGCTGAACTTGAAGGAAATGATAATGTAAGAAAAATCAGTGTTTTTTAATGTTACAAATTTCACACATTATAACTTGTTCATTATTCTATGAAAAAGATTTAATATATTTCACTTACAATAGTACTCAAACGTTTTTTTTGTGTAATATACCTTTGTTATATAATATGATTTTTTTTTATTTTCTGTAATTAGACCTCCAGATGGCTACAACAATGATGCATTAAAAACTTTTGTTGTCCCTGAAGGTGAGGATTAGTCTTTTCATTCTAAACTCAATGTAATTTTGGATTTTATTTTAACACAAATATATTTGCAGTATCGTTTTTTACCTTAATTAGTTTGTTCTCTATTAAATAATTGGATAGAAAAATGCCTGTAGCAAAGTTAGTGAGAATTAGGCATAAGACAGTATGTTAAGTAAGTGCTGTTTGTTTGTGTATCATGACATTAGTGTCCTTCAAGAAACATTAAGTTTTATACTTTTTTTTTCCAACAATTTTTTAATACAGTTCTTACATTTTGCAATTAATGAACACCTTGATAAAAATATAATTACTTTTAAGAAAAAGTAAATACTTTTATCAAGCATATTCTATTGATATTTCTTGTTTGTTTTAAGTACTTAATAGGCATAGTCACTTTTTGTATTTTTAAGAGTCCTCTTCAAGCCAGGCACCAAATAGACCTTTGCCACCAACCCCTGATGATGAAGAAAGTCATGATGGGACACTATTAATTAGACGGGTTAGTCTATTCATTGCATCAGAGTTAGAATATATGTATGAATCATTGCATTGTAGTTGGGCCAAATGTATGAAAAAATCTAGTGATAAACTTGTCTGTTCAGTTTTTTCTTTTTTGAGTACTGAAGGCTTGTTTAGGATGAGAAAATATATCATGAAGTATTTATACAAAGCATATGTGAAGTTTACATATCAGGGGAAAATAACACATGCTTGTGTAATTTATTAAAGTTTAACAGAGATAGTAATAAATTTATCTTTACATAGTCTTCAAAACAAAACATTTTCAGCAAACAACATTTCTTACACATGTTTAATAATTTTATTGTTATCATGAAATTACCTGGCATGCACATGCACTGATGTGGTTACCATGAAAGTTTTCCATCACTCCCAGTCTTCCATTTGGCTGATAGCAGCCATGACACACATACACACAAGTTCCATCTGTCCATGCTACCACTGGCCTTCCTCTTCCTCATCACCCTCTACCATCCTGTGAAGAATTGCTTTCTTTAGATAGTTATGCCTTGTGACATGACCAAGTAATTGTTTAGCTGCAGTGGAGACCCTCAACATTATTTCTGTCCTGATCTTATCTAGCACCCAAGCATTTTTTCTATGTTTGGTTCTTGACACTCATAAAAGTACTATAACTCCACACCTTAAAGACATGCACCTTCTTTCAGTTGCTTTTTTTTTCATGACCTATTATTATGAACTGTACATCAATAACTGTATAGTAGGCTAGTTTTAATTCATTTTGATGCACTGAAATATAAACAGACCTTAATTACAATATCTTTATTTCAGATACAGGTATTTAAGTAATCTTCAGAATGGAAGTATACACACCCAGGGTTTGGACTTTGAGTGGCAGTTGGTTAGCTAAGTTGACCACTTGAAAGAGCATCTTAAAAGAATGAATCATGGAAATTAGAATAAGTAGAGAATAAATTTTAAAATTCCACAGAAAATTTGTTTAAATAGTGTCACAAATATAAATATATAGTGTCATAAATAGAGCAGCACATGGTGCCCAGTATCTCAATTGTTCACTGCACTGTCAGTATAGAACTTGTAGTAGAAATAAAGGATCTGCTACTGGAACATTTCTTGATTAAATATTGTTACAATTATAGTGATATAAGGGATGTCATCAAATTCCAACTTCATAAAAATTAGTAACTTGTCACCTGGTAGTGAATTGCAATGTGAGTACGTTGGGTGTAGTCATTACCACAAGTAGGATGTGAAATGAAACACCTAAACTTGTGTCTAGTAACCATTGAAAAGTGGTTTCCCTATAACATTGTGTTTTCCCAGTATAATATTGGAGCTAATTTTTAAATTACTCTTTATTGCCACCTATTCTTCAGCTGTAGCCCATAAATCCCAAAGTCTTCATAACTTCCACATTTCTCTTTATTTTTAGGAAGAAGAATATCAGACAAGTTAATGTTAAGTTGTGATCAAAGCAAGCTACCTACTTAGGTCAAAAGTTAAAATCCACATAGTGAATGAGATAACTAGTTAAAAAGTACTGATTTTATGCACTTACAAAAATTAGAGTGCTTTGTTTATAGCAGTTTAGATAATCTTTACAATTATATATTCACATCTAGAATATAACTTCCATTAAAGTTCATTCAATTATTTATATCTAAGATCATGAGAAATGTACTTCTCTAGTCTAATTTGGGTGCTACAAACTTGGTAGTTTCACCTATTTTGTTTTTATTGTAAGTGATTATAAAATTTTGCATTTATTCACCAAAATGGCCTAAGTGTGAGGATATTTTTATGAATGAAATTTCAAGAGAAACTTGCTCATAAGAACTTGTGAAATGAAGATTTTAGGCATAGTGTTTACTACACTTACAGAACCAAAATAATGTGGAAGACAGTAAAAACTCAAACTGTGCTGCTAATGACAGTGAAGAAAAGGAAAAATCTAATAATAGTATTGAAAAGAAATTGTGTAAGAAAGAGTTTGATGCATCAGATGAAGGTGAGGAAGAGTTTGGAAAGAAGGACTCTTCTCCTTTAAGCAAAGCCTTTTCTTCAGGTGTGTCAGCTGCATCATCAACTCCCACTGAAGATATTCATGAAAAAGATTTAAAGTCAATGTTAGTGTTATTTAAGGAAGAAATGCAGGTCAGTGGGGCTAGCTCTATTTAGTGCTCTCTCCTTTCCTCTCTTTTTTTTTCTTCTTATTTTTTTAATTCTGTTTGAATAGTTCCTTAGTTACTTTTTTCAGTAGAAATTTTACTTTTTATTTAAGCTTCAGAGATGAAAAAATCCTTTTGAACACTTAATTATGCAATTCTGAAATCAGTCCATATGAAAACTTATAAGTTGAAGAACTTGAATTTCATGTTTATTTATTTTTTTTAGAATTACAGATAAATATGTGTCATTTATAAATATTGTTTAACTTCTAGAAATTCTTGTAATAAGGCAAAAACAATGAAATTGGAATAGCAAAATGTTATAATTGACTGGTATTGGTAGTTCTAAATCTCTGATACTTATTGAAAGGACTTTAGCCAAAGCTAATCATTTTGTCTGGCAATAACCATATAATTATGTTATGAAATTTGTTAGAAAAACTACGTTTGAAAGGTTATTCCTTCGGTAAACTACAATCTGAAGCAAAAATAAGTGTGAAATATTTAACCAAGATATACTGTAAATCATTTTATTTTATTTTATTTTAATTTAACAATTGCATTAGAAATTTTGATGTCTTAGTTATTTCATAGTAGGTATTTCTCCATTTTTCTTTGATTTACTAACACATTTCTTCTGTCCTGTGTTACAATTTTTTGTTTAGTTTTGTTCTAACTTTCTTTGGAGAGAACATATGAGCACTTCCTGCTGAACTTACAAATAATAAATTATTCACATGACCCACTGAACCTGTTGCTCTCAAAAACTGTGCTGTGCTTTCTTGTAAAATTTGAAAAAGTTTAGTTCTAGCATTTTCCTATAACTTGCAAGATAGTGTTTCATGTTTTTACACTAATATATTTTTGAATTTATTAAACTTTCTGTCATTATACTTTATTAATAATTGTATCAGATAAATATGGTTGGTTATATTATTGTGTTACAGAGCTGAAAATAATTTAAATGTTTTTTAAACCATAGGTTTGTGGAATTAAATTATTTTCAATCATTCTTGTAATTTTCAGAGTGAGAGAGAGAGGGATCGAATTGAGCGAGGAACTCCTTTCCTAGGTGAAGGATTTGGTCGAGCCTACATGCAAAGAATGGAGTCATCTCAGAGTTCTCCTGGGAACATTGGGGGCCGATCCAGTGGTGTGCTTCCAGACTTGCTTCCACAAAACAGTGTTTCTCAAGTTCAGCTATTTGCTGGACAACAGAGGCAGTTTGATCAAAGTTTTTCTGAAGAGGTAAACTTTTGAATAAATGAATAATGTGTAATGTGATTAAAAAATCACATAAAAATTGAGAATAGTAAAGTTGTAAGGATAGTATTTTTCTTAATTTCCATGCAATTATGCAAATAGTCATGATAGTCTAAATATTTATCTCATGTTTAGCCGAAATGTAAAGGAGTTTAAACTGATTAGTGTTGGTTTTAACTGTATTATTACCTTTATGCTACAGCAGTTTTGGTTGTTTTGTAAATTTATTTCTAAAGTTTTCAGTATAGTTTCTATTATTATCACTGTGTATATAGGTAGTTTTATATTTCTAATTATAAACTTTTTGGGGGTAAGGGTCATTTATGAAAGATTTTGGCAGAATCTACACTGCTTGATGATTTTATTAGGATCCACAGTTAACATAGAATATTTTTTACAGTAGTAATAACTCAGACTCAGCATTGCATAGATTCTGCAAGATGCCAGAAGCTATATAATTTTTGCCATTTGTTAAGTTGAAGAGTGGTTCTGCAAATGGGTTCACAAATGTCTGTAGAGAACTAAAGCAGTGTATGTGATATTTAAGTTCATCCAAAGACTCTACATCAGTGTATGTGATCTTTAACTTCATCCAACAGATGCTCAGTTGAGATCCAGCTTCAAGATAATAAAAGCATCTTGAAATGGCCTTTATCTATTGATTGAAATTAAAGCATTGTAGACAGTGGTGTAATGCTAAATAAATAACTGTTGGAATGCAAAATCTACTGTTTGACCATGTAAGATGGGATTCTTTCGAAATAGTTGTGATACAGCATTCCAGCTAAAAAAAGTACAGATACGCCATGCTCACATGTTCCCACCTCTGATTGTAGGGTACTTGTGATCAGCAACAATGTTCAAGGATACTCTGGATGATGTTATTCATTCTTCTCAAAGAGTTATAAATATTCCTCTGGTGTTCTTTTCCATCTATATAGTTTTCATAATTTTATACAGTTTATTTGACTGTCTCAAAAAATAACGTCTAAAAAACTAAACCTGGACTACCATAGTTGGTGGGGATTTAGAAAAAATTAAGATAGTTCCCACAACAATTATAGAGAAGTGTTTGTTGTATCATTAAAAAAAAACCTTACTGTTAGTTGAAGGTTTTCTGAGGAAATAATAATTATTTAGGTTATAGTTTTTATAAACGTTATTAAAACTCGTAAAGCTCTGTCAATATTCAGTTAAACTAATGCTTACATGTATAATTTCAAGATGTTGTTAATATACATATTCATCAAATTAGATATGAAAAATAAAAGAGTGAAAACACAATAATGACATTCATACTTATCAATGTTACTTTTAGTACCAGTGAGTATAACGATAGAGAGTATAACATATATATAAAATTTTTACAAGGCTTACTTCTAAACTTTTTGTTTTTAATTGTTTTGTTGGAATAGTTGAGAGGCATGTTGTGGATTTTGTTGTTTTTTGTTTGTAGTATCATCAAGCAGTAAGTAAAACCCCACCTCAGTTACAGCATAAGCAACGTTCCTTTCTGACTTTTGGCTTTGGAGCTGGCAGTGGTGGACCAAATCCATCACCCAGAAGAGAGTCCCATGTCAATGTGAATGTGACACCTACATCTCACGAAACTTCAACTGATACACCCGAGATACGAAAATACAAGAAAAGGTTCAACTCTGAAATATTATGTGCTGCCTTATGGGGTGAGTTTACAGTAAAATAAATGTCTGTGAAAGTTTGTGATAAAGTAACACCCTGTAAAATATGACCATTTAATAAAGTGACACCATCTAAAATATGATCATCTAATAAAGTTACAGTGTAAAATATAATCATCTTTTAAAGTGAAGTCCTGTAAAATATGATTATCTAATAAAGTGACATCTACCAAAGTGACATAAAATATGAGCATCTAATAAAGTTACAACCACGTAATAAAGTAACACCCTGTAAATTATGACCATCTAATAATGATCTTCTAATAGAATGATAGTTGTAAAATCCATCTAATAATGTGACCTTATGATATGACCATCTGATAAAGTGAGAGTCTGTAAAATATGACCTTTTAATAATGACTGCTGTACGCTGTTATGAGCAAGTGGCATCATGAGAGGAAGAGAGTGTGTATATATATATATGAGAAAATATTTAGCTCAAAATTAACCGGATCTATATACATTAGGTTGGGCTTAAATGCTGCTACGACATGTTGCTTGAAACTGTGAAAGAAGCAACTTTTGTTTCCATTTTCAGCTTAAAATTAGCATGAGCTATTGATAAACTATCTTCTGTATAAAACCAGCTTGTTTTGCCATGCAAAATGCTGCATTAAATGCACTTATAGAAAGGATATAGTCACCAACCTATTTTGAGTTAAATAATCCTGGTATTGCAGTGTATCATGAATAGCTCTCAAAAGCCGATTGTAGTAATATATATGCTACAAAAGATTGTGTTCACCTAAGATCCCAGTAGAAGTATTACTACTAAAACAATTTGGTTAGAATAACAAAATTATGTCTTGGAGATAATCCAGAATTCCATTTTAAGAACTTTCTTCTTAAGTTTTGTTGCTTTCTCAAGAAAAATATAATTTATGTGTATATATACAAACCTCAATAAAAATATAATGGTGCATTATGAAAATAAAGTTACTATGGCACAGGTTATAATGTTGGAAATGTAAAGTATGTCCTGGCCTTTGGAGGTGACTGTAGAATTAGGACCCATATAGTGGTGGGGATACACCATCTATCAGTAAATATTAACTGTTTAAATAATGTTATGTTCATATTATATATATATACATTGGAAAAATCTAATAACTTACCTGAGCTTTCTTATTGAAAATTGAGATTAATGAAGATGAGAAACCCACTTGAATTTATTTTAATTAAAGTTTTTAATACCCACATCAGCCATCTCTGCTATAAAAATTGAGATATTTTTACATGACTGGTTCAAGGTGTTAATCTGTTGATTGGAACTGAACATGGTTTGATGCTGTTGGATAGAAGTGGCCAAGGAAAGGTTTACAATCTTATCACCAGGCGTAAGTTTCAGCAAATGGAAGTGTCTGAAGGCCAAAACATTTTGGTGACAGTGTCAGGAAGGAAGTCCCGTGTGAGAGTGTACTACCTTTCTTGGCTTAAAAACAAGATTTTACGAATGGATGGGGTAGGTGCAACACGAAACTAAGACCAGATACTTCTAATTGAAAAAAGAATGTTTTTATACATTTTTGTATAATAATGAATATTTTTATTTTGTTTCCAACTCATAACTTTGATCATTAAATATCACTTTATTTCTCAGCTGAACCTAATATGTATTCAAAAAGGGTCTTAATTTATCAAACTAGTTGACACAAAAAATAGTTTTAACATGCTTTTTGCAGTATACAAACACTACCATGTGATTTAATTTTATATGTTAAAAGTGATGCTATTAGTAATTAATTGTTTTTTTTTCCATTTTAGTAATTAATTGTTTTTTTCCATAAAATGTTTACAGTTACATCAGGATATGTAAACCTCCATTTGTTCAACACTTCTTTTTTTTTACAGCAATTAGAAAAGAGGAATGGATGGATTAATGTAGGGGATCTGCAGGGAGCTGTACATTTCAGGATTGGTGAGTTAAATTAATTGGAAGATATTATCTTCACCTCTTAAATGCTGCCATCATGTTGAGACATTTACATAAGCCTTTGATATCAAAATAAGCTTAAAGTTTTCCAAAATGCCCTAAAATTTAGCCAGACACAAGTAATCAGATTTAAGGCTGAGATCATATTATCCAATTTGCAACTTTGGGTAAAAAGTTATCCACCCCTTGTAAAATTCAGTGGTCTAATAAAAATCATTAATAAAACATTTCTATGTGTGAAAGAATTCATGTAGTCAGTATTCAGGAAAAGTTAGAGCATAAAGTAGGCAATAATTGGATAAAAAATATCTATGAGAAAAACAGTCCTTGTAAAGATAATGAATTATACTGTTGCTTTCTCATGTAGGTATTGTCATTTGTAGGTTTAGCAACAAGTATAGTATCATTCTTTCCTTATTTAATTTTAAGTAGATATGTTAAGTAGACTGAGTTGGAGTCAGAATTATTTTGAATTAAGTTATGTTCATTAAATCTTGGAAAAATTGAAATGTTTGTACTAGTAGATAACCATAATTAACTCATTACCTGTTGATTTGCCATATGGAGTACAGTCTGCCTCCGGCAGTTGAATGTGAGTGTTCCATATATGGTGTATGGCTTGCAAAATTTCCATGCACATTTAGAGAAGCTGCAGTGAATGAGTTAATTATGTTTATCTTCAGAAAATCACCAAACAATATAGTGAAATTCCATTACTTACCAACACCTCTGTACATTATTAAGACTTTATATATATAGCATACAATTAACTATTGCAGTGATTAATCTACATAAATAAACATATCAGATTTAATCGTGGTATTTCATTGCAATAGTTAATCTACATGATGAATATATGTCAATTTTAATTGTGGTATTTTATTGCAATAGTTAATCTACATGATGAATATATGTCAATTATAATTGTGGTAATGCATTGCAGCAGTTATTCTACATTAATAAACATTTCAGTTTTAATTGTGGTAATGCATTGCAGCAGTTATTCTACATTAATAAACATTTCAGTTTTAACTGTGGTAATGCAGTGCAGCAGTTATTTTACATTAGTAAACATATCAGTTTTAACTGTGGTAATGCAGTGCAGCAGTTATTTTACATTAGTAAACATATCAGTTTTAACTGTGGTAATGAAGTGCAGTATTTTAAAGCAGAATGAATTGTCTGGGAAATAATCTGTCTTGAATACCAAAATGTATCACACCCCTGGAAATGACATCTTGTGGAACACAGCTGTCTATATTAATCAAACCTTCCACAGTTCTATATAACATGGAACATAAGATGTCATGTTGAAGAAATTTAAGCTCATTCTTTTGAAGCAAACAGTTAGAATAATGATGGTCTAGTTTCTGTAGAGTGAAGTGCTGTAAATAAGGTGAATAACTGCCCTTTTTTATTGTGTGTGTTTATATTTACATGTTATCTAGAACACCTCAATATGCTGGAAAAACATGTATAATTTTCTCTAACTATGAAATGTTTTGACAAGTACAACTAAAGAAGTTGTAGTATATAAAACTGTTACACTTACTTGAAAATAGATATTTATTTGCAGTAAACTTCATATGTATTTGAGGCCTATGGTATTCAACTATGAGATAGAAAATCCAAAATATGGACAAATTTTTCTTTCAAAAGGCTCTGAAGTTCTCTGTGAAGAAGTAATTTTTTTTTCTTTGCACAGTTAGTTTAAAGCATTTTACTAAACATGTTTAATTCTAAAAAGGTTCAGTATTAGGTTGTAAGTCAAACAGATTATTTTTTTTCAGGTAAACACTTTTGTAGTGTGTGTGTGTACTGTTTAACTTCTGTTTTGATACAGATTTTACTTGTGATTAAAGCTATTCATTGTTTTTCATTAAATATTTTTGTTGTATATTTCATAATAAGTGAAAGATTTGATATACATTGAATGTTATGCATCTAAACATCCTCAGCATTTCTTGAGTTTCAGTTCTTACTTTGTAAAAAATGATGTAATAGTTTCAAATCTTTTTTCAGTGAAATATGAAAGGATTAAATTCCTTGTCATAGCTCTTCAAGAAAGTATAGAAATATATGCTTGGGCTCCAAAACCTTACCACAAATTTATGGCCTTTAAGTCCTTCCCTGAATTAGTACATAAGCCTCTTCTGGTGGACATGTCAATTGAAGAAGGCATTCGGTTGAAGGTGATTTATGGATCAGCTGAAGGATTCCATGCAGTAGATGTTGACTCGGCTTCTGTATATGACATCTATATACCAGCCCATGTAAGTTGGCTTAAGCTGAATAGCTTATCATCCTTCTAGTAACATCCTATAAAGAAGATGCAGTACTGTATAATCTTATTAATTAATCTGCCATATTGAAATATGAGACTGTGTACCATGATTTAAACACATTATTAACTTCATCAAATTGATATTTGAAGCTGGATTACATTGAGAGTTTACTCATCAATCATAACAAATTGAAGCAGTGTAATGTATAAAGTAAATATCTCATTGAATTTCAGGTGAATAAGCTTTGAAATAAAGCTTTTTTACACTGTATTGCTAAAACTTGGAAATCCCATTAATTCAAATACAAAGCAGTGTTGGGCTACCGTTTTTCATATCAAATTATGTTTCCATGATAATCTTACTTATATGCTTATAATTTTGAAGCTTGTACTTACTCTTTCTTTCATAGTTATCTGTTTAAGATAACTCACACATGTTGATTATTGTTCTGTGTCTGTTTTAATGTGTGTGTGTGTGTGTGTTTTAAGTTGGAGTTTTATTTCATTTTTAATAGTTATTATAATGCTTTTCTTTTTGTCAATGTGCAGTACTGAACCATTATACTTTAGTATGTTCTTAGTGGTACTTTATTTATGCTCTCTTATTTCATTTGTTCTGTATGTCATATAGTATAAAGGATTTGTTTCTGCTGGTGTATTAAATGTTCTTGTGCTTTTGTGTCTGATATTTATTCTATACCTTTATTAATATGAATACTTATACTTTAAATGTAAATCAAGGCTTCATAATGCTAATCTGTAACTTAGTAGTGTTGGTAATTTAAATTTAACTTAGGTTTTGTTACAAACATTTGTCATTTTATAGCTTGTCAACTTTTTAAATTAATTAATGTATTATCTAGTGCTTATTAGTCTAGCAGTATTGGTGATGTAGAAATCAATTATTTAACACATTAAAATGCTTGCTGTTTTTGCAATGTTGTTAATTAAGTAATGTTGTGTTTAGCACAATGAAATACTTGCTAGTCTTGCTTTAGTACAATAAAGTGCTTACTAGTAAAATGCTTACTTGTCCTGCTGTTTTGTCACTTAATCAGTATTTTGTTTACTACAATGAAATGCTTACTAGTCCTGTAGTGTTATTACTTAAGTAATTTTTACTCCAACGAAATTCTTACTAGTCATGATGTGTTGTTACTTAAATAACAGTTTGTTAACTACAATAAAATGCATACTAGTCCTGCAGCATTGTTACTTAAGTAGTGTTTTGTATATTGTAATGAAATGTTTACTAGTCCTACAGTGTTGTTACTTAAGTAGTGTTTTGTCTACTCCACTGAAATGCTTACTACTCCCAAAGTTTTTTACTTAAGTAGTGTTTTGTTTAATGCAATGAAATGGTTGTAAAACTTGCATCTTTATTAATCATTTAGTAATTTATTTAATACAACAAAGTACTTATTGATTCTACAGTTTTAGTAGTTTCATTATTCATGTTTTGTTTAATGAAATGCTTACTGGTCCTGTGATGTTGTTGCTTAAGTAGTGTTTTATTTAGTACAAGAAAGTGCTTATTACTTCTTTAGTTTAATAGTTTATTGACAAGTTTTGTTTAACACAGTGAAATGCTTGTTAGTCCTCTATTATCATTATTTATCTAGTGGATTTTTTTTTTCAAATGGCTGTGCTCATCAGATATTTTTGTATTTAATATTTATTCTGTTATTATAATTTTTTTTCAGAATTACAAATATATTGCTGTGCACACAAATCTTCATAGTTTCTTCTCTGCTTTTGTTTTTCTTTCCTACAAAAATACTAGTGTATACTAATAGCAGTTTTGAAATTTATAGCATCCAGCATTTATGAAATTTTACAATTCAAGTTCTAGTCAAAATATGTGGGATAAAAATGAACTTTCAGTCTCATTTTACTAAAACTAAGAAACTAATCACAATTTATGGTTTCTAAAATTTGCTCTGTTTTATATATTTACAGTATATCAGTTGATTAAGCATTTTGTTTTGAAAGTATACACTTATGAACTTTTATTTGTTGCACATTTCCATAACTTTCCATCTGTTTTAAAATTTTTTATGCCATAGTATGTGTTTTTGTCATCCATTTGGCACGGTGCTCCTAAAATATAAACATCATAGCGTTACTGTTGAAGGCCACATCTCTTTATTATTATTATTATTTTAAATTAATTGTTCTAGACAAACCTAGAAAATTTCCATCATTTTCCTAGAGCCTTTTTTAATACTTATATCTCAAGCAGTAACTATAACTTTCCCGTTATTGTGAATAGCCTTGTCAGTACAATTGTCTCGTTTTCATGATGTGGTTTTGTACATCATTCATTGAACATTACTTATTAGGTGTACATTTAACAGCCTTACCTTATATGTAGTTCATCTTCTTGATGGACTTTGGCTTTTTTAGTCATGATTTAAATTTACATTGTGCATTAAGGTAGTAGAATGAGCTGTTTTTTCATTAATTGGTAGTGCTTATTTTGATATGTTCTGTGTTAAACACTTGGGATGATTATTTGTTTTTATTACCTTTTTAGAATAGCACCATACAACAGCAGTGAGGCTTTAGTCATAAAATCATAAATTAGAGATTGTTAGCCTTTATTCATATTAAAAGGCCAAAATAATCAAAGGCTAACCAGAAATTAATATTTTATCTAACATGAAAAATTCTGAAAGTCTCTAAGTCATGCAGCTGTGTTATTTCTCATTATTCATCTCTGTCCTGGTATTATATTTTATACTTTCATCATGTTCTGGATATTTATTTACCTATCAATTTTCTACAGCCAAGCTCAGATAATCATTATTTACCATTTGTGATAACCTTTTTGTGTTCAGCAAAAAAATATGCTACATTTTTCTGAAACATTTTCAAATGTAAAATTAAATATATATATATATATTAACATATCTAATTCAAAATGAAGTAACGATAGAATAATTAAAATAAGCTTTGACCCTCATTCACGTAAAGCATTACAATAGTGGTATTTTGATGGTAAACTAAACACACCATTAGTTACATGATCTATGCAATGTAAAGAGGTTCAAAGACCAAGTACATGATAGGACAGGTATAATGGTTTGTAATGGCAGAATGAAAGAGACAAACTCAGTGAAGCTGAGGCAAATGCAAACAGTTTATTTGTTGGAAATAATAGAGGAATGACTGATTGCACAGGTTGAAAGGACTAGTGCATTGTGATACACTTAGTTGAAAAGTAAAATAAACTATATTTAAAGATAAAGTGAAGAAGATCCATACTATCAGCAAATTAAAAAATAAAAGGTTAAGATACAGAAGCAACTTTAGCAATAAGTTTTGATTCCTTCAGATTAGAAGTGAATCTGTTTGAAAATTCCAAAACTGTATTCTTTATTCACCTTTTCTCTGTAGCTGACAATTAGAAAATTAGATAAAAATCTGGAAGTATCTCTGCTCCATGTGGCAGCTGTAAAGCAGTCCCCTATACATAGGAAGACATAATTCAACTATGCCATGAAACAGTAAAAAGCTTCTGTGATCGGATCTTGCTTACAAAAAGTAACACCTTGGGTTGAAATTAACTTTATTTTAATGCAACATTTCATCACCAGTTTATAAATCCTCTGTTAATGTGGGTATATAGTAGAGGTGGGCAGTAAGTGGATTTGCTAATCGATTAATTGTGAAGCTCAATAATCAATTGCATTCAACCAATCATTTTCACATGAGACTTGAGTAATTGGACTAATCATTTAAACTGAACAACCTTGTAGTAATTAAAAAATAGTAATGAGAATTAGTGAATGGTGAATCTTACACAACAAGTATACATGAGCTTGTTAATAACAAATGACCTTGTTTTTTTTGTTACTTAATGCTTAAAATAAAATGATTCTTTGGTTCTAAAAAACAAGGTTTTAAAACACTATCTCTGCATCTGTGGACATTTTTCTGCTTAGAACAGTAATTAAACACTTTACATCTTTTTTGTGTTAAAACTACAAAACAGGTTTTTTCTAAGAACTTTTTCAACATGATAATTTCAGTAAAGTTGAAAATCATTTTAATTCTAATTATTAATTTTTTCTTCATATAGTAGAGTATTAGGACTTGCAGTCCTGAAAGCAAGATTTATCAAAATTTTCACCAAATTATTTTTGACTGTTATAGGAACAAAGCTATCCAAATTACCATATATGTTTCAGAAAGTGTCAGTTTATGATATACAATATACCAGCTTAAGAACTGTTTTTAATTATATCCAAAAATATCTAGAAATCTTAATTTTCTTTCACATTCTTTACCTTTATTCCCTAATAAAATGGTTTAAAAAAAACAAGGCATTTTCCAAGCCATTGTTTCACATGAAGCTCAAAAATAAATTATCTGTAGTTTAAGTTTCACATTGACTCTATAAACCTCTTCCTAAACTAATAGTCTCAAAGTTTAATTCTTTAAGTGCAAAGGACAACAACTTGTATAAACATTTTTTCAATAATCATTTACAGTATCAATAGAAAAATTACTATAAACTTAGTACTCGAATTTATAGTCTCTGGTATCATAATATTGGTGCAGAGAGATTCATCATCATTGATGTTTGTACAAACTCCATTATGAAAGGTAAAATTTTGCTCAGTTACAAAATATTAAGTTGTATTCAGCACAAGTACAATATCATTTATGTTTTTGAAGAAATTATACAAAAATAAAATAAAATTGGTAGCCCATATTTATGTATTCAAGTTTTTGGTATGATTAGTTTGCAGAATGATTTATTGTTAAAATATTAAAATTTGTATCCTTTTGATGTTGTTAGGTGTACTATAGATAATTCATACATGGAAATCAACTTGTCTAATTGATTTATAAACACATTCAGATATTATTTTAGTCTCTTTCACTGTAGCCCTCCGGTGGCACAACGTTATGTCTGCGGACATACAACGCTAGAAATCGGGTTTCGATACCTGTGGTGGGCAGAGCAAAGATAGCCCATTG